TTTGGTTCGTTAATTTATATATATTTTGTATTCCTTTTATTTTATTAGGCGCCATATTTGTTGTTGTTGTTTGTCGTAAATAAAAAAAAAAAAAAAAAAAAAAAATGGCAATTTATTATTGGAATAAAAAAGTTTAATGTCGTCAACAGTTTTGGCACGAAACCCTTTTTATATTATTATTATTATTATTTTTGTATTTTATCCATTTATGGTAATTTATTTATTTATTTATTTGATTTCTTCTTTTTCGTGTATTTGATTTACCTACTTGTATAAATTTATTTATTTAAATAACAAAATAATAATAATAGTAATAAGGAAGAAATAAGTTAAGTAAACGCCGTCGGCACATTAGCTGTTCCAGTAATAAAATTCAGTTTTGGACTCGTCGATTGGACAAAAGAAGAAATCACGCACCTGGACAGAAGACAAGGAAAATATTACTATGAATGGTGCGTTACATCCAAAAGCTGATGTGGATAGATTGTACGTCAGGAGGAAAGATGGAGGAAGAGGATTACGACAAATAGAAGCGGCATACCAGAATGCCATATTTGGAATGGGAAAATACATAGAATCCCATCAAGAGGACCCTATCTTAGCCCAAGTTATACATGCGGAAGAAGAAAAAATTACAAAAAAAGGAGTTCTGAAAAGGGCAAAACAAATCGTCCAAGAAAATAAAGAAAACGAGATAATGGAAGAAGGGCAACTTGCAACTAGCAAAGCCCAATCTCAGAAGAAATTATGTCAATATCTCCATCTCCGAGTATATGCCGAAAATATGGAATGGATGGATTACCCAAGGAGTGGCACAACCACATTCCAAGCCCGGTTACGACAGTAGGTCCATGCACAGTTCTATATGATCAACAAATCCACACTGATAGAACTGTGCCAGCTAACAAACCGGATATCATCCTGAGAAGCATAATGCGGAAAAATGATGTAAGTTAATTGAGGTATCCGTGCAGGCAGAAAAAAACACGAGGCAGCCAAAGAAGGAGACAAAAGGCTAAAATATAGAAATTTGGAAATTGAAATAGTCAGGATGTGGGGAGGTAAAGACGGAAACGATTCCGGTCATCGTGGGAGCATCACTGGGAGCCATGCCACCACATTCAATGAAAGGAAATTTAAAGAAGATTTTGAAGAACCTAAAAGAAGAAACCATCCAGGAAATCGCACTATGTGGGACGGCCCTCATTCTCCAGAATTCTCCATCATATGAGCATTTGTCCCTAAGGAATCCTCAGGTAGAAATCTGGAATAAATGCTTAAAAACCCCGACAAATAAGAGCCTTGTCGTGTTTAAGAGTGACCATAATAATAATAATAATAATAATTTTTCTTTTTCCTTTAAACTAACCCCATTTTTTTTGAAAATATTAATAATAATAATGATGATAAATTCGTCATTTTCTCGTGATTTAAAAAAAAAAAAATAATGATAATGATAATAATATTTGATAAATAATTGTTACGATTATTCTAGAATTATAACACACACACACACACACATTTTATTTCCGTTTATTTTTTTTCGTTGGCTGTAGTTTAGAGAGAGAGAGAGGGAGAGGAAAAAGAGGAGAGAGAGAGAGAGAGAGAGTATGTGGCAAAATTTAAAAATTTGTACTTGTTTTTTATTTTTAAAGGCATAAGGATAATAATTATTTAAATTTATTTTTTTGTAAATAATTGACTTGAAAGTTTTTTAAGTTCAAGGCGATCAACGGTTAATTTAAACGGTGAACGGTGGGGATCCATTAAATTATTAAAAATTTATACATTTACACAAGGTATAAAAAAAAAAAAAAAAAATTTTTTTTGTAAAAATCTTCAAAATTTCCAAATTTGCAATTTTATTTATTTTTTCTATGCATGTGTATGTGGGGGTGGGGGTGGGGGAGGAGTATGAAAGTGTGTTACAATTTAAATTTTATTAAAAGGTGTACGAATCGTGTTTTTTTTTTTTTTTTTTTTTTTTTTGATAATCGTCCCCATTAATCCTTGTGCAATTTATTATTTTTGTCCTTTGTTTCAGGCACTTCGTTTATCCTTTCCCTCCTTGTTGTTGTTTTTTCTTTCTTGTCTTCCTCGTTTAAATGTTTTGCAAGGAAGTAAAATTCAGCTACGGCAATTATAAGTGCACATGCGATACCTGAAAAAATATTTTTTTTTGCAAGGAAATAAAATTCGTTAATAATCCCCCCCTTTTTTTTTTTTTTTTTTTTTTTTAATATTTAACGGTTTTCCTATCGGGATTTCGAGTCACCTTTAAAGTTAGTTAGTAATTAATAATAATAATAATAATAATATCGTTGAGGTTTTTAAATAACCCTCATTTTTCTCTCTCTCTCTCTCTCTCTCTCTCTCTAGGATAATATCAATCACATTAACGTTTTTAATTTTTTTTCCATCTTTTTTTGCATAGACTATTTACGCGCTCGTGCTTCGTTATTTTTGCGATGATAAGAACACACAAAAATTCATCATTTATCAGATAAAACCGTTAACGATAATAATGATACTCTTGTCAAAAATTTAAACCTAAAGTCAAATGAAGGTGAAAACACACAAAAAGGGACCACAAATGAAAAACAACAAATAAATCGTAATTTTTGCTGTTGTTGTTGTTGTTGTTGCTGTTGTCGTAATTAACCGTTACGAGTAGTAAAAGAGAGAGAGAGAGAGAGAGAGAGAGAGAGATAGAGAGACAGGTGAGAAAGAGATAGAGAGAGAGTGCGTGCCTTGTTTTGTTTTTTTTTTTTTTTTAAATGAGACTACTTAAATTCAAGTATTTATTATTTAATTGTCGAACAAAAGAATAACTTACGACTTATTACGTACGACACTATTGATTAAAATCGATAAAATGACGTATTTCTTAATTACGTAACGATTGATATTATTATTATCATTATTATTATTTAAATTAAAACGTACTCGAGTCTCTTGAAAAATGACGTCATAGTCACGTGATTAATTTCTTTCTTCCTCCAAAAATTTTTCCCGAACTCGTCGAAATTCAAAAAAAAAAAAAAAAAAAAATGAGGAAAACCGTTAGTTCAGGTAGACGAAAAAAATTTACGATAATGATTTTTCCCCGTACCTAAAAGCAACCTGATACCGAAATTAAGGTTTCCCACGATTAATTCCACTCCGAGAAATCCAAATGCAAAACCAGCACCGACCGATACCAAAAGTTGTCCTACTGCTATCAAATGACGATTCATCATGTTCACTACAAAAAAAATTTAAACGATTAACGGTCGTTAATTGTAATTAAAATGTGTGCGAGAGAGAGAGAGAGATAGAGAGAGATTCTTACTCTGATAACTGACAGAATCTTCTGGAAAATGTTTTTTATCCAAATTGACATTTTGAGTCATCGCTTTGTATTCCCTTTCTTCCTGTTCCTTTTTCAATTTTTCTATTCTTTTCAACAAATCGGGATTTCTTTCAACGACTTCGTTTTTCGGAAGTATGACGTCACTTCCTTTCATTAACTCATGTAAATAGGGTAAATTTTTTCCCATTTCATTTTTCACTTCTTCCCTGTCGAAATTCGAATAATTTTCCTTTATCATTTCCTCGATTTTTTCATTCAATTCTTTTCCAGAATATAAATTGTTTTCATTTTCATTTCTCATATTAATCACAAGTTGATTGATCCAATTCATGTCCGACTCGACATTGAGAAAATCATTTTTCGAATCGAGTAATTTTTGTATATTTTCCGGAATGTTATTTTCACCATCGATTATAAGGGAATTTTCTTTTAGAAAACTCTTTAAAATTTTTCCAGGTTTTATGTAAACTGTTGGATCTTTAATCGTTGTGATATTATCTAAAGCAAATGTTAATGTTAAAAAAAAATTTGAATTCGATAAACTCACAGGAATATTTTTATTAACCTTACCTGCCATTTTATTATGTATGTAAACTATTCGGAATGAGATTAGGAATTTTTTAATTTATTACCCAGATCCGCGTAATAATCTCTAAGATCTTTTTCTTTAACATTAAATTCTTCATCTATTTTGACACATTTCTGTGAAATGTCTTTTATAAAAACATCCCATTCTGCTTTTCTTCTTTCTTTGTTTTTTAATATTGTCGTATCCTAAACGGGGAAAAAACCCGAATAACTCGAGGAATATTTGCATTTAAAAAAATAAATATTGATCTTCTTATCATCATCTTACTCACAGTTCTATATTGTTCTTCCTCTTGTAAAATTGTATTGCACACCACTAAACTATCATCTATTTTATTTTGCAATGTCTCAAGATTTTCATCTGCTTTTAGTTTAATTGAATCAATTTGATTGTATTTTATCTCTGTGATGTTTTGTAGTATTGCAAACAATCTTTCAACTTCTTTGTTCCCTCTTTTTTCCTACAAAAACCAATTACTAAAATTTCAATTAAAATTTTTTCCCATAAGATAAACATGATAAATATGAAAGTAAAAAATGCAATGAACGACAAGAAAGAAGAATAAATAATTAGTTGAGCATATTTTATGGTTAAAAAAATGACGAGTCATCATGGAAACTGACCTCAAATTCTTGTAAGATAAATCTTATTTCTCCATTTAAAAATGGTCTGTGATCGAAAAGTCTCGTCCAAATTTCACCAATATCTGCAATCAAATAATTATTAACTATTGAATATCGAAAATAAATAAATAAATTTTTTACTTTTAAATCGTTAAACTTTTAATAAATATACTTATAAAATAATAATAATAATAATTTCTAGTTAAAAAATTTATTGTGCTCAATTGAAATTTGTATACGAGTGCAACCAAAAAAAAAAAAAAAATTATAAAGTGATGGAAATGTATTATTATTATTATTACCCAGCCTACATTAGTAATTAATTACTCGAACGGATGAATTATTTTGTAATAATACATGTGTGTGTGTGTGTAAATAATCACGAGGAAAAGTTACCTTTAAAAATATTTGCCATGATACTAACAAATTTGTCGACAAAACTCGGCTCACCGGGAAATTTGTCGCAACTTTTAAACACGTTGCGAACCTGATATATAAATAGATATGATATAAGATCAGTTGGGTTGGTTGGTTAATTTTTTTTTTTTTTTTTTTTTTTAAATTTTTCACTACTTGCAGGGAGTTACCATCGAATATGTAAAGTTTTAAAATAATAGTTTGCTTATACGTTTATATACATATATATATTCTTTTCGCACATTTTAATAATAATTAACGAGATAAAAATGTTTAATTTTGGATTATTCGGATACGGATTAATGGAATATACGTCTGGGTGGTACCTTGCAGGACTTTTAATCACGGGTTACATATCATATTATTTGTTTGAAGTCGTTAAGGTATGATTTTTACGTAAAATACATTTATTATATTTGTCGTTATAAATGTTTTTTTCTTTTATTTAGTCATCACAACTAACTAACTATTGCTTATCGAATTTGAAAAAATTTATTGTAATTTATGTTTATGCCTTTATGTACGTTTAAAACGTAGTTAATATTATGTATTTTAATTGTTTTTGTCAAGTGTTTGTTCTCCTCTACCTTTCTTTGTTTAATTTTTTTTTTTGAATTATTATTAATTAAAGTTTTACTTATTTCTCTGTCGATTCTTTTACAATTTTCTTTTAATACATAGAATTTTCTAGAAAATTTAGTAAATTATTTAGTTATTATAAGTATTTGTTTTGGGAAAAAAAAATTCTTTACATTACATCATCAAAAAAATGTTTTTTTTTTTTTTTTTTTAATGGTTTTTATTTATTTATTTTATTATCTTGATTCATTGATAAACAATTATTAAAATTAAAATTTATATTATTATTATTGTTTTAAGTGGAGGTTAAAGAAGTTTAGAGCGGAAAAACATTTTTAAATAGAAACGACATTTATTTGGGGGAGGAAAAAAAAAATTATTGCTGAATTTTTTTTAGCAACCTCAATTGGTGTGTGCTCCCTGCAAATTTAGAAAATTCTTAGAATCAAATTTACCCATTCTGCATGAAAAATATTGGCCAACATTTTGGTGTTGCGAATCCCGAGCACAGACTGTTATGGCTGCTATTGTTCGAAGAACCCTTTTACCCTACATACAATACAGAAGGTAATTATTATCTTCATATTCTAATCGACTTTTTTTTGGTTTTTTTAGTTGAAAAAAAAAAAAAAATTCAAGTTGACATCATTTGTAATCGTAATAAATAAATTATGTGAGTTTTAAATGTTATATATCACCCCTCCCCTTTATTATTATTATTATTATTATAACTCTATTTTTCAAAATATCTAGCATGGAAAAAAAAAAAAGTATGATAATGTGAAATAAAGGAAAGCTATTGATTATCGAACAGTAAAAAATTTTTGTGATTTGATTTTTCAATTAGTAATTTATTGATACTTTCAACATAATAATTGTAATCATGTCACATTAATTAGATTTCTTTTTACGAATGACTATAATAATAATAACAAAATAAATATGACCATTCGAAAGTTATTATTATTATTTTAGGGAAATATTAACGCTGAGAGATGGAGGTGAAGTCGCTTTGGATTGGAAAGAAGAAAATACGACTTCATCAAGTCCTGTTGTCCTTCTTTTTCCAGGACTCACAGGTACGAGTCAAACGGAATATGTGAAAGCTTTGGCCATAAGCGCATCGAAAAGTGGAATACGATTTGTTGTTTTCAACAATAGAGGACTCGGTGGAATGGCATTGAAAGTACGCCATTTTTTTTTTTTTTTTTTTTTTTGTTCGAGAAAAACAAAAATAATAATTTATAACGTTTAGTAAATATAATATTTTTTTATGTTGCGTAACTAACGTCCTTGACCTTTCAAACTTTTGATTTATGTTATAATAATAATAATAATAATAAAATTTATTTGTTCAGACACCCAGATTGTATTGTGCTGCAAATGTTGATGATGCATCAGAAGTTATTTCTCATGTTAAAAAACTTTATCCGACAGTGCCTTTGGGAGTTCTTGGAGTATCCTTAGGAGGGTAAGATTTGTATTGTTTTGTTCCTTTGAATTGTTTTGTTGGTTTTGGAGGAGCAACAGGAGGTTAAATTACTTTGTTTGTAGGATGATATTGGGAAATTACATGTCACGAATGTCTGACGAATCACAAAAAATGATTGCAGCCGCCATGTTGATATCCGTGCCTTGGAACGTATTCGTGGGTACAAAATCATTAGAAAAACCAATATTAAATTATTTAATCAACAGGCATTTGGCATTTTGTTTAGTCAGAACAATCAAAGAGTTAGTAGTAGTAGTAGTAGCAGTGCAAATCGATTATTATTACTGTTATTTTGTTTGTTGTTTGTTGTTTGTAGTCGTTGTCGTTGCCAATCTCGTTTCAACTGGTTTATCGTTAATTTGAATTTTTTTTAAAATGCAGACGGAGTCAAATATTAGATTGCACCCACGATTTAGATCAAATTGTTAAAAGTCGAACGGTTCGAGAATTCGATACGAGGTTCACGGCCAAACATTTCGGTTATGAAAACGTGAGCGAATATTACACGGAAGCATCACTACACACAAAAATACCGTTAATGAAAGTTCCTACACTGTGTCTTTCCGCAGCCGATGATCCCATGCAACCTTTGGAAGGTACGCCATCCATCATTTTATTTCCTTTGACGTGTTTTAGTTCACATCCGCATGTATTTGTTTCCTTTTTTTTTTTTTTTTTTTTTTGTAGGTATTCCCGTGGAAGATGCTAGCAAATCCGAAAGCGTAGCCATTTTGATACCTTCGAGAGGTGGTCACATAGGTTTTATGGAGGGCCTACTACCCATAGCTTACGATCAATACATGGCTCGATGTTTCACGCAGTATTTTAATGCAATGTTTGAAAATGATAATTACAAACAGTTTTTTACAACGGGAAAAGAACAATCGAACAATTAACAATATATACACAGACACACATATGATTAACATTTAAAAATTTTAATCTATAAGTTTTTATATAATGAATCAGTGCAATTTTAACCAGTTTTTCCTTTTTTTTAAAAATAAAACGTCACGTTTAATCAGAAGGAAAAAAAAAAAAAAAAACAGATTAAAAAGTAATAATAATAATAATACTATAAATCTGGAAATAGTTTAATACAATGTATAATATCTCTCTCTCTCTCTCTCTCTTTTATTTGTCTCTTAATAATAAAATTAATTATATCCAAAGATTAAAAAAAAAAAATTAACAATACATCACACATTGTTACTCAATATTAGCTTTAATTTATAATAATAATAATAATTTTAATATTGGCAGTATTAAAAAATGAAATAATAATAATAATAATGATAATTTATTATTAATAAAACAAACGAGAAGAGAATTCGAATAGCACACAAAATTTTTTGTTTTATTTTTTTTTAAGCTTATAAAAATAGGTAAATATTTTGCAAATAATAATAATAATAATATTAAAACAAAAGGAAACATTCCATTTACATGTAATAATAATAATAATATTTATTATGTAAATAGATTTTGTTATTTGACAAAGTTGAGTGCTAGTAGAAATCGTTTAAACAGAATTTTTTAAATTTATAAAATCATAAATTTGTTAATTAGTGCCTTAATTAATTAATTATTGATAGAATAATAATAATAATAATAATTTTTTTTTCCACCCTCACACACGATTAATAATGATGATTTAACGGTTGCTTTTTTTTTTTTTTTTGTTTCTTTTTCTTTTCTTTTTTGTTTTAATAGAATCGATTATGTATTTACGAAACGAAAATAAAATAATTAAAATATATTTTATATAAAAATGAATTTTAATAGATAAATTTAAATTTTATATTAAGAAAATTATTTCGAACCATTTTAAAAAACTTGTATTATTATAATAATTTAAATGTTGTTGTAAAAAATATTAAATTGTTTCTTAATTTTAACTCTGCTGGCAGATAATTGTTTAAATATATATATTTTTAATAAAAAATTATTTATTATTAATTATTAAATAATTATTATTATTATTTTTCTCCCTTTTTTTTTTATTTAACGATTAATAATTTGAAAATTCTTTTTTTAACGGTTTCGAATGGATTTGAAATTACGATTCGTCTTCTGCTTCAGTTTCTGGCGGTTGTAACATTTGTGGAATGTCTTCGTTAATGACAGGTTCACCGTCTAGTTTTTTTAAATTAGGTAATCGTTTAGGTACTTCTATTTTCCAAATATTTTCTTCCATTGATTCCTGTAGTGGATTTCCAACGAAAAGTAAATCTTCAAGAAGTGGAAGTTCCTGGAAAAATACAACTTTCAGGTTTTTAAAATTTTCTTTTTTATTTAATTTTTTTTCATTTTTTTTTTTTGTTACCTGCAGTTTATTAAATTCAGGCCATTCTCTTATTAAATTATTTGAAATGTATAAAACTTTTAAATTTCTCAATACGTTTATTCCTTTTAATTTTTCAATTAAATTATATGATATCCATAATTCTTCAAGTGTGTCACCCAATGCTTCCAAACCGGTAAAACTTTTTATATAGTTTCTACCAAGTGATAATATCTTTAAATTTTTTAATGTACCTGAAATGACTTTTATTTTAAATTTTACCTAATCTTAATTATATATTCATTATGATTCTTCATCAGGTATAAAAAAACATTTAAACAAATTTTTATTAACTTTGTAATCTTCTTGCTTCATCCCACACACACACACACACTCTCGAATACTTTTTGACATTAAGAATATTTAGAATTTGAATTAAATATCAATTTAACAATTTTACTAAATTTAAATAATAAAAGACTTATTAATTGTTTATAAAATTATAAATTTTTACTTAATTTTAAACTTAAAAATGAATCTTTTTCACATTCAATTTTATTTAGCGAATAATAAAACAAAAAAACAAATAGGCTATGAAATAAACAAAATCAAATCGATATTTAAAAAAATTAAATATTTATTTTGAAAATAATACATAAATCCAAAGTTATTTAATTACTTTATTATTATTATTATTATTATTCGATTAGAAAAATTCACTGCATAAAAATTTTTAAAGTAACATTGCCCGTTTATTATAAGATTGAACTTTTTTTTTTTATTTAAATAATCAAACGGCACACTATGGAAAGCTTTACATCAATTTTATGATACTTTTTACATCATGTCTTTTGACTAAATTAGAAACTCAGGTAAACTAAGTAATTGTGTATATAAAACTAATTTCAGTTAAATGCAAATTAAAGATAACGACAAATTTTCTATATATATATATTTATATTTAATAATTAATTATTTTCATCTTTGTATTATTTACCTACCGACTCCAGATATTTTTTCAATCATATTCGTAGACAAAGACAATCTTGTACAATTTGTAAGAGTGGCTAATGAATTATCCATTTTTTCAATAGGTGGCCACTGAAAACAAAGGAAAACTTCTTTCGCTTCCGATGCGCTTTTATTATTTTTTTCTTCCCAACGTTTTAAAGCTTCTTTTATAGAAGTAGCTTTGGCCATTTTTTCGAAACAAGTTTGATCAATGATGTGTTACCAGGACAACCTTTCGGGCTTATTTTCACGATTTACATATTATTATTATTTATTTATTTATTTATTTATTTTTTTCAAATCTCTTAAAAGTTATTCATTGCAGTCTTTAGAAAATGATAAAACATATCAGATGGTAAACAATGTGGATAATTTTTAAACTCCTTTTTTTCTTTTTTCAGCATGAGAAAATTCAGTCATTGGTAGCCCACTAACTCCGCATGTTCCGATTCCGACACGTCCGGTAACACTATCAGGTGAAGCAAAAATGCTTTTTTTACTGAGTAGACCTCCTTTTTTCTGCGATAACCAAAAAAAAAAAAAAAAAAAAAAACAAGTTTATCAGGTTCTTTTTTTTTTTATGAATACTAATAGGTATTGTTTTACTACATGTTTTTACCTTACTAGTAAAAGCTAACCACTTATTTTTTTCAGTTTCTCTTTCTTCCTCAAGTTGTTTGTACCTCATTTGTTTCTTTAATTTCTTTTTTTTTTGATATTCTCTCTGACTTTGCGATTGTTTTCTATAAAAAAAAAAAATGAATTTAGATAATTTCAATATTTTTAATTAATAATTTAATATTAGAGTAATTACTTATGCTTATGGTCCAGATCTGATTTTTTTTTCACATTTGGTTTTACAATCGGTTTAAGAAATGATGGAGCCGTTATTTCAATCATTCCATTATGTTCTATTCTAACAGAAACTTGTTCAGTTTCATCTGTAATTTCTTGAATAACACCTTCGTAGTACCTGAAAATATAATTTGCCACATTAAAATAGTGAAATTTTCAAACTGTAACATTACTCCTTAATTTATAATGAAATGGATTTTTAAGGCTTTCGGAAAAAATACTTACATTCCATCATCACTGCTCATGACCATGCAGCGATCTCCGACTTTATATTTATGTTTAGGAATGCTTGTCAATATATCCTGATCGCTGATTAATACAGAAGGATCAGTACTCCCACCGGGAAAAGTACCTTTCCCAGATTCTATTAGCTGTTGTTTTATTAAATCTTTTGTTAACGTTAATACTTCTTCTAAATCATTTTTTAATTTTTGCAACTCTTGATTATCAGGATCTATAGTCAAGGCAGCTTCAACCTATCATTAAGAAGAAAAATTACATATTTTAATTTATGATAGATATTAACAAGAAAAATTTTATGATTTTAACATTTAAACGATTCATAAGCATAAAAAAAAAAAAATCTTTGTTTTATTAAAAATATTAATAAAATAAAACATTTTAAACCAGGTTAGGTTATAAATAGTTTCTTTAAAATTAAAAAGGTTTATAATGGCTTAACACAAAGCATAATTTTATTCATTTAAAAAATACCTGTTGAAGTTGCAGTATGTAATTTTGTAAATTCGCTTGTAAATCGTCTGCCATATCAATTTATTATTATTATTAAATCAATAATAAATAATTTAATTTTTAACATTAAATTTTGAAGGGCAAACTTTGTCGACCGTGACATGAAACATACCGAATTTTTTTTATTAATTTCGACAAATGAACGGTGACAACATGGCCGCGTGTTTTACTGTGTTGTTTTACGGTTTCGATATTTATTTTTAATAACCAATTATAATTTAAAAAAAATTTCTGATCACATAAGAAATAATAACTTATTATTATTATTTTTATTATTTTCATATATATTAGTTTTAAAGCTTTTCTATAATACATTGTAAGTTACATTGGAAAATATATAACTGTTACACAAGGGGTGTGTGTTTTTTTTTTTTGTCGGTCAATCTTGACAGTCTCCCACTCCCTTAGCAATGCAAAATTTTTGATCAATTAAAACTGGTTTATTTTTTATATTGAGAGGGTGTTTTGATTTTCAAGTCTCATCTTTTTTATCTAAAAAGGGTGCACATCCTTTTGTACATTTAAATTATTCAGACAAAACGTGTGAAACTAAAAAAAAAAAAAAATTTGCATGAAAAAAAAAAAGAAAAGAAAAGAAAACCGCCCTTTTTAAGACATTTTTTTTTTAATTTTTAGAAGAATACAGATGTTTCCACATCAAAACAATATGAGAGAAAGGAGAATGAGTCAACCCCCTATGGCCCCCCAGCATCTCATGGGAATGCCCCAACAAGGTCCAGGTAAGTTTCATACTTGAAAAAAAATTTTTTTTTATAAAGGGTAATTTTTTTTTTTTTTTTTTGTTTGTTTGTTTGTTAAGAGGGATTTCTTATAATTTTTATTTTAATATTGGGGATGAGTTTTGGTGTGTGTGTAGCTGCACCAGGGTAAGCTTTTTATTTAAATTGAATGTTTATATCATGAGGCTTTGGTGTTATGTTTATAGGATAACTTTTCTATAGATTTGTTTGTGCTTTTGGTGTGTGCGTTTGTGTGTTAAAACAAATTTTATATAAAGTAAAAAAAAAAAAAAAATAATGAACTAAGGTATAAAGTAAAATATATGTTTTATGTGGTATTTGTGTTTGGTATTTAAATTAGTTTTTAAGTAATTTTTTTTAAAAAAATTTTTTACTACTACTACTACTACTACTAATTGCATGCATTTTTTTGAGTAGGTTTTTTCAAAAATTAAAATTTGTTCATGTGAAAACTTCAATTGTAATGTCTAAAAAAAAAAAAAAAAAAAAAAAATGAGTTTGAAATGAGTTTCGAACTAAATGTTGTGTCGAGAGAATTTTTTTTAATTAGAGTACATTTCGTGTATTGTTTTCTTAAGGATCAACAAGCACTGTAACAATCGATTTTAAGTAAATTTTTTTTTGTACTAATGCTTCATATTAGTTTGTTATCTATGTTACAAAAAATTTTTTTTGCTCTATTAATTACTATTTAACAATCTATTAACATTTTATCACTCTTTGTATTATTTATTACATTTGTTTCGTTTCTTTTTTTTTCGTTTTGTATTTTTTGCAAACAACCGTCCCCATTTTGATATTAGATTTCAGTTGTGAGCTTGAAGTATTAATAGAAAATGATCTCATTTATAATAATAATATCAATCTGTGGCTAAAGAAAAGAAAACAGTTGATAAAAAGAAATTTCTAGAAATTATCTTAATTTTATATCAGAGGAATGAATTAAATTCGAATAAAAAAAACTTTTTGTCGTGTTTTTTAATGTTTGTTGTTAGTTTTTTTTTTTTTTTTTTTGGTAAATGGAAACGATAAACGTTTTTATGTATTTTCAAACAACCACTGTGTGCTTACAAAGCTAAAATTTTTTTTTTTTTTTTTTGTCTGTTTTTTGTAATCTGTTTAGGTATTTATGTATATATACATATAATTTACTTATTTAAAAAAAACACTTATTAAAATAATTCATTTTTATTTATATATATATATATATTTAATGAGTAATTGTAGATTGTTAAAAAAAAAAGAGATTTTATGTCTGTCAATTATTGTCAGACTAACGTTAAAAGTAGTCGAGGGTGATTATAATTATACATAAAGAATAAATAAATTTTTTTCTTAATTAGGAATGAAGAAATGTACCATAATAGGATTTTTGCTCATAATTCAATGTTTTTATGTCGAGGGTAAAATCCTTAATATTGAAGGAATGACAGTTCTAGAAATTCAATCATTGTTTGACCGTTATGGTGGCTGCATTAAAGGTAGGCCAAAATGTCCAGAAAATACTTTATTGGATGGGGTTTTCTTTTTTTTTTTTTTTCTTATTTTCTTTTTTTATATATATACTTAATAGAAACTTAATTTTAAATAGAGAACAAAAGTTTTTGAGTAATTTAACACTTTAATGTAAAAATTAAGACATATTATTTTTAAAGTAAATCAAATCAAATCTCTTTTTACCCATATAGATTTTACATTTGAACACATGAACAAATTTTATTCGATATAATTGAGTGTAAGTATTGATTAAATTATGTGTAAGTATAAATGAATTTTTGACACACACACACACAAACCGCAATTATTTTTAATTTATTTATTTAAATTTCTGCACACTTTTTTTTTTTTTTTTTTTTTTTTTTTTTTTTTTTACCCACAAAATTGAGCTTTTTCAGCAATAGTTATGTTGTTGTTATTTGTCGATTATGCATAAATTCATGTATAATATTAGTTGATATTAGTCGATAACTAAAAGCTAAAAAAAAAATGCTTTATTTTATCTGGTATTAGTCATTTTTTTAAAAATATATTTCAAGTATTTAATTTTAATATTTATTTATTTATTTTATTTTTATAGGTATGATTATGCCGATGCCTACACAACAAATGCAAATAATGACCCAAAGTCATTTCACCAGCCAAAACTCATTCGCTCCTCAGGGACAGGGAAATGTTTCTTTTGTGCCTGCACAACAAGTTGCCACACAAAAAACAAGTTATCATCAGACTGCATTTAGTCACAGCACTCATCAGGTTTGTTTGCACCTTTTTGTCGTTTAAACAAAAAAAAAATTAATTTTTCCCAAAATGTTTGTCGGGAAAAAATGTTTTTGCATTTAAATTTTTATGCGAATTTGTTTTTTGCTTAAAAGAGTTCTCGAAATTTTCCTCGGAGAGCATTTTTGTTATGGATTTAAATTTTAGTTTGAGTGAAACTTGTTTTATTTCGAATTCAAAGTGCAAAATGAAATCAAAAAGTATGAAAACTATAATTAAATTTATATAATCAGTCTTTTTTCCAGGTCATATTAACAAAACAAACTATAAATAGGAATAAAAATTATAGGAAAGAATACATTGCGACAAAGGATTCAGTAAATTATAATATTAATAACGAAAGGAATAATCATCATAATAATTATAAATTAAACGAATATAATATAAATAATACATATAATAATAGGTATCATCAGGGGTATAATAATGGATATTTTCCATCACAAGTAGTACAAAAGGTTAATTTTAAAAAAATAATTTTCATTTGAAAACAATAATCGATTTCAAATTTTTTTTTTTTTTTTTTTTTTAAATGGAATAATTAAATTTTTAGGATATAATTCAAAAACCTAGCTATAATAATAATAATAATAATAATCATCATCACGATGTACACGTTAAAGAAAAAGATGTTACGGATAAGGACTCAATAGTGAGATGTGAAAAAAAAACCAACGAATGTCCAGCCGTTTCACATTTAGTACCTGTAGGAAAAGAAAAAACTCCCATGTGTCTTGTTAACGAATTGGCCAGGTTTAATAAAGTAATACGTTATTAATTTTGTAAAGTGCAAGATGACAACTTTTGAAATTTACATTGAAGTGTGTAATGTGCTGACATTTTTTTTTGTTTGGTTGGTTGGTTGTAGATTACTCATCAGTATAGATTAACAAACGAGCATGGTCCGGCACATAAGAAAAGTTTTACAGTTACTTTAACGCTTGGAACGGAGGAATACACCGCAGATGCTCCAAGCATCAAAAAAGCTCAGCATTCGGCTGCGGCGGAAGCATTAGCGAAAACATCATTTGCTCATCCGACGCCGAAAGTTCACAAAAGTCTTAATTCTGCCAAATGTCAGTTGATGGACGAACAATTTTGTATTTTTTACCGTCTGATCATCATAATAACGTATTTGTAATCGTTTCCATTTGCAGCTAACATCACTCCGACAGTCGAACTAAACGCGTTAGCAATGAAACGTGGCGAGTCGGCCATATATAAATTATTGGATCCTTCTCAAAATCAAAACGTTTATCAACAAAATTCACCCTTTCTCGTAAGGAGACCATACTTTGGTGTAAGTTTAAAAATTTGCATTTTTGCTTGTCTATTTTTTTTTTTACATTACGTCACAGAGACACGTTAAGCACGATCACAAATATTTGAATATTACTTTTGTTAACATTTTACAAATTACATGCAAATTGTAATATGTAATGTAAAATAATAATAATAATGATAAAAGATGTGCATTTTAAGAAAGTTTTATATTAACACTGCAACCAACATAAGAAAATCCTAATAAAAGGTTTTTTTTTTTTGTATTTTCAGAGAGGAGGAAGAATACCAATTAAATACACTTACACTCAAAATATTCTTTACACGGTTTCGCTTAAAGTTGGCAGTTGGGAATTTTTCGGTGAGGGTGGTTCACCTCAAGCAGCCAGACACGATGCCGCATCAAAAGCTTTAACGCAATTGAAAAGGCTACCGAAGGCTACAGAAGGACCACCGAGCGTTTGTCCCGTTCAAAAAGAAACAAACAGTAAACAAAGTACGTCGATCGACGTGGGAAAATTTTTTTTTTTAAAAAAATTTTTATCCGTTATTCGTTTATTTAATTTAATTTTCATTTAAGGTATCAACATCAATCACGATTTCGATTCGTCTATCAAATCACCTGTGAGTTTAGTTCACGAATTGGCTTTAAGAAGGAGTATGAGCGTGACATTTGAAGTTGTCGAAGAAAGAGGACCGCCACATTTGAAAATATTCGTTACGAAATGTACGGTAGGCCCAATATCGACGATCGGTGAAGGTAGTAAGAAAAAGGTAACCATTTAGAAAAAAAAAAAAAAAAAAAATTAGATTCCATGTGCAAAAAATGTATTGTGATAATATTTTTGTTTGTTGGTTCTTGTTTCAGGTATCTAAAAAAAGATCGGCGGAAAATATGTTGGTAGAATTGAAAAAATTGTCTCCATTACCACCTCAAACGTTTGTACCCAATCCGACGAATGTCACGACGACTAAAACAAAGAAAAAATTTTCACAATCGAAAAAGAAATCTAAAAATCTCGTTAAAATTGTTCAGGTACGAGTGAATAACCAACTCTCTCTCTCTCTCTCTCTCTCTTTCTCTGGGAAAACAAAAAGTAACCGCCATTTTTTTTTTTTTTAATCAGGAAGTAGAACCGGAACCCATAATAATAGACGATAATATGAATCCCATTTCGAAATTAATTAAAATTCAACAAGTTAAAAAGGAAAAGGAACCATTGTACACGATTCTGGAAGAAAGAGGAAGTTCAAAGAAGAAGGAATTTTTAATGGAGGTGTGATTGATATAAAAGTTTTCTTTCCCTCCCCCCCCCGTGTTTGAGTTTGCGCATTAAAATGTTACCAATAATAATAATAATAATCGATCGTGTTTCAGGTTTCGATTAGTAATTTAAAAGCTACAGGTACGGGTCCAAGTAAAAAATTAGCTAAAAAAGCAGCTGCGGAAAATCTACTCAGTCTGTTGGGATATGGAAAACCATCGGATAATCATCATCATCAATCCATCAAACCCGCTTTGAAATCTCAGGATAAATCGCAAGATGGAAGCAAAAAGGCGAGTCGGCATTTTTTTGTAATTTCATCGGGAGAATTCGTGTTACGATTTATAGTGGGTGGGAGGGAGAGGAGTCTAAATATATAAAATTCCTGTTTTATTTACAGGTAACATTCATCGACGCGACGGGAAAACCTGATAACAATACCGGTGGAGGAGGTTCACTGGGAAGACAATTAAAACCGGGGATTTATGTGATATCGACGGATTTGCACTGCGGTGAATATTATTTTTTACCCGAACAAAATCTAACATGAGAATGATTGATTGATTGATTGATTACCTAATTACAGTGTCGAATAGTCCGTGCACTTCGATCAACATGCAAACAACGGCGACAATAGCAAAAGAATTATTAAAAGGTGGAATTTCTCCGACGGCGGATGCTCTCGTACAAAAATCTACCGTAGTTACATCAAGTAGTAGTAGTAGTAGTACAACAACAACAACAACAACAGCAACAACCACAACAACATCTCAACCTCCTCATAATTTCAGACCGAAAGAACAACTTTTATACTTAGCGGATTTATTAAATTTTCAAGTACATTTTTCGGATTTTCCAAAGGTATACCTCTCGAATTTTCCTTTCGTTGAGGGGGAAGGGGGAGGGGCGAGGGGGGGGGAGAAAAAGAAAAAATTTACCAAACGATTGTTGTTGTTGTTTAATTTCAGGGTAATCATAGTGAATTTTTAAGTTTAGTCACAATGTCGACGGATCCGTCGCACGTTTGCCACGGTTCTGGACTCAGCATAGAAGAATCACAGGACCAAGTAAGGAGAATTTTCCATTTTTATGTTTTTCAACGAGGATTTTCGTTGTTCGTACCTTACGTACCTTACGTCTAAAACGTTTTTCTCTCTCTCTCTCATTTTTTCAGGCTGCACTTACGGCTCTCACCGCGCTGTCGGAAATGGGTTTAGATTCCGTCACGTCGCACAGTTCTACTACAACAACAACAACCAAAGAGTAAGTATTTAAATCATTTTTTTCTTTCGCGAAAAAAAAAAAAAGAAAACCGGAAACGGAAACGAAATTTTTTTTTTTTGTTATTGCAGAAGTAAAAAAAATGGAAAGGGAATGATGCCGTCATTAAAAAAGTAAAAAATTTATGTATGATGTTGTTGTTGTTTGTTTGTCATATCGTAATATCGATCGATTGGAAAACTTTTTTAAAAAAAAACCGAATTTCAAAATGAAACTTTTATTATTATTATTATTATTATTATTATTATTATTATTATTATTATTATTATTATCTTTTTTTTGTTTTTTTACATGAAATAATTTTTGAAAGAGTTTCAAAAACAGTGATTGGTGTGTGTGTGTCACGTGATCAAAGGATTTTTATTTTAACTATTTTTTATTATTAATTTTTTTTTTTTTGTGTAAAGATTTTGTAGGAAAAATGAAAGGAAAGCATTAATTGTTATAACAATTTTCGCAATTACCAAAGTTGAGCCTTTGTTTTGTTTTGTTTTGTTTTGTTTGTTTTTGTTTGTTTGTTTGTTTGTTTTCTTTCCTTATTTTTTGTATTGTATTAAATGTCAGACGGACGGGTTGTAATTATTTTTAAAAAAAAAAGCGGTCACGATTTTCATTATTTCAACAAACAAACAAAACAAACGGCAAAAAAGAAAACAATTAAAATTATAATAATAATAGTGATGATGATGATGATGATTATGACGATTTCTATAATAAACTTTGTAAATTTTTCTTCATTTTTTTTTTTTATTTTTATTTATCATTTGTCGATATTGGTAATAATGATTGATTGTCTCGTATGTAACGTTATTAATTCTTTTTTTGTCGAAATGAAATTATTTATTTATTTTTGGTTGTTGTTGTACAAAAAGGAGTAAGTGAAACAACACCAAACAACAACAATAACAAACGACAACGCCAACACCTCATGTATGGGGGGGGGGTGTTGATTGATTAGATTTAAAATTTTTTTTTATTTTTTATTTTTAATCATTATTATTATTAATTATTATTATCATTATTATTATTATTATTATTATTATTATTATTTTTATTATTTCGTTTTGTAAAAAAAAAAAAAAATGAAAAAAAATGAATTGAACAGTATTGAATTGTTTTTCTTACGTCACGCATTTAAATAATTATTTAAATTTATAATTTTGTGTGTGTGATTTTTTTTTTTTTCTTTAAATGAAATAAGGAGGAGAGAGAGAGAGAGAGAGAGAGTGTTTATATAGTAAATGAATGAAAAAAGAAAAAGGATGGTTGTCACATGAGAGAGAGAGAGAGGGGGGAAGGAAGGGAGAGGGAAAAAAGAATGAAAAAAATTCACATTCGATAATGTACATTCGTGAGCAATTTTTTTTCTTAATGTAATTTGGTTTACAAGTTCCTATAATGCGGTTTGTTTATTTCTTTCATCTTTTGACCTTTTAACCTTTGAACCTTTGAACCTTGTTATTTCATTCTCATTTCAAAAAGAAACAAAAAATAATAATAATGATAATAGAATCATTTTTTTGTACAGTTTGTGAAATTATTGTAAGATTTAAAATGATTTTTGTTTTTTTTTTAAATCAAATTTATCTATCTACCTATTGGGTCGTCCTGGTTTTTTCGAACCTGAAAAGATTTTTTAACTGATGATAATAATAATAATTATTATTATTATTCTTTTTAAAGGCTGTCCGTTCCATTTTTAATTTTAAAAAAAATATATTTCGTCATTTGAAAGTGAAGACTGTTTAAAAATCATTAATATTTATTTATTTTTTGTGGTCAAGCCTTTTTTTTTTTAGGGGGGATGGGGGGGTAAAGTGTGGGAGGGGAGCGACTTGATAAGTAATTAATTAATTAATAAGTAAACATTGGTAAAATTTTTTTAATGAGACACATACTTATCAAAATCATGGCTTTAAATTAATTAAATATTGTGCGAGTGTGAGTGTGTGACAACAAACAGACAAACAAACAAACAAACAAACATTTAATTTTTTTATATCTTTTTTTTTTAGTAAAATTGTATTAGTATTATTATTATTATTATTATTATTATTGAATTAAATTGCCCGCGAATTAATTTATATTTTGTATTATTTTATATCATGTTGAAATCGTTGATGATGATGATGATGATGATGATGATGATAATGACTAAGTTGTAAATTTACATTGTATTATTATTATTATTACTATTACTATTTCTATTATTATTATTATTATTATTATTATTTTTTTTTTTTTTTAATAAAGTGCTGCTGTTAATTTTTTATATAATAACACTTATAAATTATTTCTAATGGTTAATGATAATAGTCAATAATGATTCATTCGTTTAAATTTATATGAAATTATTATTATTATTATTATTATTATTGGTAGAAAAAAATGAAATTGAAAGTTTTTAAATAATAATAATAATAATAATGATTTATTAATGATGTTTTTCGAGAGAGAGAGAGAGAGAGAGACAAAAAATTGAATATGATTATATTTAAAAAAAAAATTTTTTGAGTGCGAATACAAACTGTGTGAAAAATGGAAAAAAAAACAGGTTTAAGGCACACAAATATTTATTTTAAAAGTAAATTAATATACACTGTCTGTGTCTGTGTGTGTGTGTGTTTGTGTTTGCGTTTCATCATCTTGTTAATATTTTATTGTTTAGCTTTATTTTGTATAGGTAAAAATAATTTAAATTCTGCGGGTAATTCATCTTCAGAATAAAGTCTATCTGAAAAATACACTCTTCTAATTCTACAATTAGCATGAATTTGAACTCTTAACGTTTCAGTGTAATTTGTACCGTATGCACGCCTTGTGAAATCGGCTAAATTAAATTGTATTTGATTCCAACCATCATCCAATCTCATCGGCATGGTGCATATAAACGGTTTAACTCTTGTAGTCGATTGATAATTTGATGCTCTAAATCTTCTTCTTACATTTTTATCATCTAAAACCTTAATTACCAAAAAAACAAAAATAACTTTTATGTTTTATGAATCGTTGTCGAGTAATTTTTATAATGTGTGTGATGATACTCACTTGTACTTCGAATGTAAAATATTTTTTCAAATTTTTTATTATCATTACCAAAAAAGGTAATTTAATACCTAAGGTTTTTTTAGGATCAGCAGGACATGTTATATATGTCGTACTAACATTCGTCCCAACAACTTCCAAAACTAAACTTTGTATATCATTATCGGTAATTCTTTTTATATGTCCGTTTCTTACTTTTTTATCCCAGATTTGTAATGGTTTACTGCCGATGCTGTATAAAACCGACAGAAAACCGCTTTGGAATGTATTTTTAAACATTTTTTTTTATTCAAGCGTCGTCCTTTCTCATCTTGTTTATTATTTTTAGGTTAGCGTTACATTTATTATTATCTTATTTTTTTTTTTCTTTCTTTTTTTTAAAAAAGACAATAATATCATGGAATAAATGTATTACTATACCTAAAATGATATCATTATTAGTTTTTTAAATAAAAAATAATAATAGAATTTATTACACCACAACCGTTAAACAATAAATTACATTTGTTTTTGAGAAAAAAAAAAAAAAAAAGTTGATAACGGACGACGACGATTCTCGACGGCAAAAAAAAAGAAAATTTAGCGAAAAGTAAAAACTTTAAATGTATTTATTTTATAAATAAAAATGTATGCGTGTACTACTGTTAATAAAATTCATAATGTAATTTATGTAAATACTTAACGACCATTTACTATCATTCAAGTAATGATTTTCGAATTCATTACAAAAAAAAAAAAAAAAAAAAGTAAAAAAACCTTTGAAAAAAAAAATTCTCTTAGGGAATTATAATTAAAAGGAAATTTTCCGTAAGTTAAATATAAAAACAATGGAAAATTTGAAACCTTTGTTCTCTCTGCCGGCAAATGGCTGACTGGAATGTAGTTTTTCATATTCGAAAAATTTAAACAATATTTCATTTGTGTTTATTTTAAAATTATTATTATTATTATTTTTTTTTTTGGAATTAATTAATTACAATTAATAAATAAGTAATTATTAAAAAAAAACTACGCCAAAATGGCGAATGTTTCTTATCAAATTGCAAATCTTCTTGAGAAGGTACAAAAAAAATTATTTTTTTTTTTCCTATTAATATTTACAAGTTTTTTTTTTTTTTAAATGAAATTATCTACGAATTATATTATATATTATAACTTTTATATTATCAAGAATTTTAATTGTTATTTTCTCGCATTAATATTATAAATATTTTCATATAGAAAGTATACATATATATATCTATTAATAAATGTGTTTGTTTCTTGTCAAAATACCTGGTCGCCATTTTCTCTGTATTATGTATAGACAGGAAATTTATTTTGTCACAATTATAAAAATTTTATTTAATATTTATTAAGTTTCTTTTTTATTATTTAATAATTATTCTTTTAACAATTAACATTTATATATTTCATTTATTAATTTTGCAGATGACATCGAATGATAAAGATTTTAGATTTATGGCCACAAATGATTTAATGTCGGAACTTCAAAAAGACAGCATTAAACTGGATGATGATTCTGAGAAAAAAGTTGTTAAAATGTTATTAAGATTGCTTGAAGATAAAAATGGAGAAGTTCAAAATTTAGCTGTTAAATGGTACTTTTTAAAATTTGACCTCACCTTTTGTAAGTTTATGGTCGATAGATAAATTTTAATTTCGATTATTTTCTTTTAGTTTGGGACCATTGGTTAACAAAGTAAAAGAATATCAAGTTGAAACAGTTGTTGATACTTTATGCAATAACATGGTTTCTGAAAAAGAACAGTTAAGAGATATATCAAGCATAGGCTTGAAGACAGTTATTAGTGAATTACCATTAGGCTCATCTGCTCTTGCTGCTAGCGTTTGCAAAAGAATCACTGGTACATGTTTTTTTTTTGTTTAAATTTAAAACAAACTAATACACACACTAATTTAATTTTCTTTTTAAAATTTTAGGGCGTCTTAGCTCGGCCATTGAAAAACAAGAAGATGTTTCAGTGCAGTTGGAAGCTCTAGACATTCTTTCAGATTTATTATCCAGATTCGGAGGTTTACTCGTTTCTTTTCATCCTACAATATTAACCTCCCTACAACCTCAATTATGTTCACCCAGACAAGCAGTTAGAAAGAGAACAATTGTAGCTCTGAGTCATTTAGTCATGTCATGTAATTCTGCACTCTATGGTAAATTGTTAGATTTTTTGGTGGATGGACTGTCGAGAAATTCAGGAGCTTCTGCAACGAGAACCTATATTCAGTGTATCACTTCTATCTGGTATAATTTTTTTATTTATTTTTTCAAGTAATTAGTTATTATTCGACTGTTAAAATATTTTTTTTAAAATTTAATTTCAAGTCGTCAAGCTGGTCATCGTTTCGGTGAACATATGGAACGCGTCACACCTTTTATAGAACAGTACAGTCGTCAAGACGATGATGAATTGAGGGAATATTGCTTGCAAGCTTTCGAAGCTTTCGTGCAGAGATGCCCGAAGGAAATGACTCCACACATAAGTGCTATAATGGATTTATGTTTAAATTGTATAACATACGATCCTAATTATAATTATGATGACACCGATGCTGATGACAGCGTAAGAATAAATATTTCTTATCTACAAAAAGGCAAACTTAATAAATTAATATTTGTTATATAAAAATATATATAAATTTTCAGATATCCATGGAGACCGATGATGTGGATGATTCTGAAGATGAAGACGAATATTCGGATGATGATGATATGTCGTGGAAAGTCCGAAGAGCCGCTGCTAAATGTCTACAAGCTGTAATTCTAACAAGGCACGAAATGTTGGCGGATTTTTATCGAATCGCCAGCCCAACTTTAATAGCAAGGTATTTGCTTTTTTATGGAGAGTATACATTAAATATTTTTGTATCTTATTTATATATACATGCATTTAATTTTTAGATTAAAAGAAAGAGAAGAAAATGTTAAATCTGATATATTCCACTGCTACATTGCGTTGCTTAGGCAAACCAAACCTACTGTTGCTTTAGGTACGGATGTTATCGAAGACGAAGGAGCTCCTATTGTTTTACTTCAAAATCAAGTAATTATTCATTTTATTTTGAAGTTCATTTGAAATTAAATAATATACTTGTAATTTAATAATTGATGTATTAATTACAGGTTCCATCGATCGTCAAAGCCGTTCATCGACAAATGAAAGAAAAAAGTACGAAAACACGTCAAGATTGTTTTGCTCTCCTAAAAGAGTTAGTTCAGGTATTGCCTGGAGCTTTGACTAATCACATCCCTGCTCTCATTCACGGCATTCAATTTTCATTGGGGTTCGTTACTGCACGTCAAACATTTTTGAAAAAAATGTTGTTTTTTTTTTTTTTAATTAAAAAAGTTTTAATTTAAATTAAATTACTTTCAGGGATAAAAATTCCAGTTCGAACATGAAAATTGATACTTTGTCATTCGTTCATTGCCTTCTTACCACTCACGCACCGGAAGTTTTTCACGTTCACATGGGAGTGTTGGTACCGCCGGTTGTTGCTGCGGTGTCGGATAATTTTTATAAAATTACCGCTGAAGCTTTGCTCGTTCTTCAACAACTAGTTAAAGTCATTCGACCTTTAGGTATGCTCTATTAAAAATTAGTTATTTGGGTTATTAGGTTTTTATAAAATAAATTAAAAAAAATTTTTTTTTTGTGTTCCAGATACTCCAAGCAATTTCGATTTCACTCCGTGGACAAGTGAATTGTACAATTGTACATTGGTGAGACTCAAGGCGGCTGATATTGATCAAGAAGTTAAAGAAAGAGCTATATCTTGCATGGGTCAAATTATATGCAACTTAGGAGACTATTTACAAGTTGGTTATCACTACTAATTGGAGTTTGTTTCAAATGTACCTGCAAATATTACTTAATTAATATTCTTCTTCTTTTTTATCAGGGCGAACTTAATACATGCCTTCCAATATTATTAGATCGGCTCAAAAATGAAATCACCAGACTGACGACAGTAAAAGCTTTAACTAAAGTCGCTGCTAGTCCATTAAGAATTGATTTGAGACCTATTTTGGGAGAAGCAATACCAATGTTAGGTTCCTTTTTGAGGAAAAATCAAAGAGCGTTAAAATTGAGTACTTTAACTCTATTGGACGTACTCGTGTGTAGTTACCATACTTCAATGAGTCCCCAACTTCTCAATAAGGTAAGCATCCATTTTTTTTTTTTTTTGTATAAATTTTTTTAGCAAAAATTTGACTCACTTGGTTACTTTTGTAATTAGGTACTGCAAGAAATTCCTTTGTTATTGAGTGAAGCCGATCTTCACATAGCTCAGTTAAGCTTAAATCTCCTCACGTCGATAGCCAAACTTTTGCCAAACGCTTTAGTGAACATTTCGGAAAATATTTTACCGGAAATTTTGACACTCGTCAAAAGTCCTCTTCTTCAAGGAGCCGCACTTAATTCCATGTTAGAGTTCTTCCAAGCCTTGGTCATGGCTAATCTTCCTAATTTGGGTTACAGGGAACTTTTAGCTTTATTGGTTAACCCTGTTGTGTCTCAGGGTAACGTCGGACCGAGTGGAGTACCGATGCCTACTCTACACAAACAGGTTAGTAATCAATGGGATAGGTCTAGGCATTTGCGTCCTGGGTAGTAATAAAAAAAAAAATAAAAAATTTATGTGTTATCATTATAGGCTTATCATTCGTTGGCGAAATGTGTGGCAGCTCTTACGGTTCAATTTACCGAAGAAGCTATCAGTGTTGCTCAGCAATTTCTTTACGACGTTCAAGATCCTGTAAATGATTCCCAATACATTTTCGCTTTACTCGTCATCGGTGAAATCGGTCGACATATGTAAGTTTAAAAATTCAAACTATAGTAAAGTATAAATGAAAGGTTCTGAAATGTAACAAAAAAAAAAAATTGCAGAGATTTATCTTCGCTGGAAAATTTGAAAGGAGTCATTTTACGGTCTCTGTGTCCTCTTTCGGAAGAAGTGAGAAGTGCTGCATCCTACGCTTTGGGTTCCGTGGCCGTAGGATGTTTGAATCAATACGTTCCTTTTATACTGCAAGAAATCGAAACTCAGCCAAAGCGACAATACCTTCTTTTACACTCATTAAAAGAGGTTTGATTTGAATTTTTAATTCGGGAAAGCCGATCAGAGACAAATTAAACATTTCGTTAATTTCCCTCCCCCGGGAATAATGTTACAGATAATAACTTGGCAGTCGAATAGTCAAGGAGGGATTTTGCAACTTCAACCTTTCGTTCCGGCAATTTGGCAACAATTGTTTAGACATTGCGAATGCGCCGAAGAAGGAACTCGAAACGTCGTTGCAGAATGTTTAGGTAAATCGTTTGTTTTGTTTTTTGTTTTTGTTTTTATTTAACTTAATCGGTAGTAAAAAAAAAAAAAAATCTTGAAATATTTTTAATTAGGAAAACTCACCATAATCGATCCTCCGAATCTTCTCCCGAAACTTCAAGCTTCACTGTCATCGGAATCACCTTTAATGAGAACAACCGTGGTTACGGCCGTCAAATTTACAATTTCAGATCAGGTAATTTATTTCAAACGGGGGGGGGGGAGGCCGGGGGGTAAACCTAAAATTCTCGTCTGTATTATTTTTAATAATTCATTAACAATACGAAAAATATATTTTTCAGGCTCAAGCCATTGATCCGCTACTGAGACAAAGCATCGGTCAATTTCTTTCTGCATTAACGGATCCAGATTTAAACGTTCGTAGAGTTGCTTTGGTTGCTTTCAATAGCGCTGCTCATAATAAACCTAGTTTAGTGAGAGATTTACTAGACACGGTACTGCCCCAATTATACAGCGAGACTAAAATTAGGGTAAGAACGAATATATATATATATATATATATATATGCGTAATGATTGGGGATGGATTTTTTTATTTTGAAAATTAATTTTACAGAAAGAACTTATTCGAGAGGTCGAAATGGGACCGTTCAAGCACACCGTGGACGACGGTTTAGACATTAGGAAAGCTGCCTTTGAATGTATGTACACTCTCCTGGATTCCTGTCTGGATCGATTAGATATATTCGAATTTTTAAATCACGTCGAAAACGGACTCAAGGATCATTACGACATAAAAATGTTGACTTATTTAATGGTGGCGAGACTCGCACAACTTTGTCCCACCGCCATGTTGCAAAGTAAAGATTTAATATTAATGATGATGATGATGATGATGAATTTTGAATATAAATCGAATTTAATACTAAAAAAAAAAAAAAAAAAAAAATTTCAGGGTTGGAACGTCTTGTCGAACCCCTTAGAAGCACTTGTACAATGAAAGTAAAAGCCAATTCCGTGAAACAAGAATACGAAAAACAAGATGAATTGAAAAGATCCGCCATGAGAGCCGTTGCCGCTCTTTTGACCATACCCGATGCAGGTACGATAAGTTCCGTCGTGTACGGATGTGATTCGCGCGTCCGAAATTTTAAAAATTTTCTTTTTTTCATTTTCATCAGATAAAAATCCTCACTTGAGCGAATTCGTATTGCAAATAAAATCGACTCAAGATCTTCAACTCATATACGATTCCATTCAAAAAGATTCAACGATGGGAGTGAGTCAAGATTCGAGTCTAATGGATCTCAGTTGAATAACTTGTTGTATAAGTTTTTCCATATTAATTTTGAAAATATGATGATGATGATGATGATATGAAAGACATTTTTAGCAAAATGCATATCCCAGTAAAAAAAAAAAAAAAAAATAAAAAAAAAAAAAGTGTGCGTTTTATTGCCGTGTCAGTTTAATTTCTTGTTTTTGTGATGATGGAGTCTGTATTTAATTTTATTTTATACATATAAAAAAAAAAAAATACATTGAATGTGAATATTATTAAAAAAAAAAAAAAAAAAATTTTATACCGCGGCCTAACCATAATTAAATAATTGCTTTATTGTCAAATAAAATTATGTCGATATTATTTATTATTATTATTATTTATTTATTTATTTATTTTTAAATAACAATTTGTAGAATGTTATTAAATTTATTGTAACTTGATTGATTTCAGGATGTATTAGGGGGAAGGAAAAGGATTTTAAAAAGGTTTTAAGGTACACACAAGAACGCACTAACTCACGCACTTACTCACGCACTTACTCACGCACGTATCGTTTAATTTTAATAATTTAAATGGGAAAATAAAAATATTAATAATAATAATTTTTGTTTGTAGAAAGAAGGAAGAGGAACGAATTTCAATATGAAAAAAAATAACAAGAAAACAAATGAAAATAATTATTTATTTATGAAGAAAATAACAACTAACACGAAACTAATTATTATTATTATTATTATTATTATTATTATTATTAATCAGTCATTTATTTATTTTATTATATTTTAATTAATTAAAATTAACGTCGGAAACGGCTATGTATAAATGAACAATTGAAAACATAATACAAAGGATATTAGACATGGCGATTAACATGTGAAGACGTCTAAATTTATTATGAATTTTTATATAGTCGAGAGATTGGAAAAGCGAGGAATCGTTTGAAAGTTTACCGATTTCCATACCTAAACCGTGTTCGGCTTCCATATCGTTTTTCAAACAAATGAGTTTAACCAGTGGATCGCACAGGTACAACCTTACGAACGATTCTATTAGAAAACTAATCGTGAGTATGATTGTCGTTTGTATACTGTTTGTTTTTAATTGAAGATGTGCTAACAACGTGATTAAACTAAGAATGCTTGTCAGGGTGAAATACAACGGGAATAATACTTTTTGCACTTCGCCGAAATGGTGTCGAGGTAGTGAAAAATACAGGGAGAGACCTGGAAAACCAAAAAAAACAACAAGATTATCATCATCATCATCATCATCATGGAAAATAAATCTATACAGGTAATATAACAATTTTCTTTTTTTTTTTTTAAATACCTGAAGCAAAGGTCATCCATATTTGAGATCCAAAATGTGCAGCCGTTGTTGACGCATAAATAAATTTAAATAAAATATTATTATTATTATTATTATTATTATTTAAATTTTTTGTCGTTTGCAATGATGATACAATTAATAAACCAGCTAACATGATTGCTATGTGTGCGGGTTGTGTTGTTTTCGTTAAAATTCTATTTAAAAAAAAAAAAAAATAATAATAAATTGATTATTGATTATTGATTATTAATTAATTTGTTTTGTTTTTTTTTTTTTTTTTTTTATACTTACAGATACAATTTCGTATTTTGAAATTTCCTATACGATTTATTAACATTATTGAAAATAAATTTTAAACATTCCGTTGATGTGGGGAGTAAATCTTTTTCCATTTTTTCTAACATGTATTTATTATTATTATGATTATCACATTTCTTTTCTTTAAGTTCTCTATAAAAACAAATAATTATTAAAATTACTTAATACGGTCCTGAAATTCATGCAATTAATAATTGACATTTTATTATTATTAATAATGATGGTGGTGGTGATACTAATAAAAATTCTTTGTTTAATTTAAATGTCTTTTTGTAAATGTTTTCATCCCCCACCATCACCACCACCCCCTCATCCCCCCATTCACAGCCTTGAACTTTATATAATTAAAAAAAAAAAAAATTTTCTTTTGTAGTTTTTCCACGGATAAAAAGAAAAGATAATGATGATAAACGTTATCGAAAAAAAAGAAAAGCCATGATGGCGGGTGTGTGTGTGGGAATAGAAATAAATTCGAAGGTAAAAATAATTTGAAATATTTATTTATTTTATTACGAAAAGGCGTTGAAATATTTATTCGCGGTAATAATAATAATAATAATAAACCGTCGGGGAATTTTATTATCATTATCATTATTAATTTTCGTACAAACAGACAGACGTACAAACATGATCGATATATAAATTCATGCCAAAAAAAAAAATTTATTAAAGGTGATTGTGAAAACGTCATCATCATACGTTTATTATTATTATTATTATTATTATTATTATTATTTATTTATTTATTTATTTATTTTTAATATCTGACTCATGCATGAATTATTTAAAAAAAAAAAGGCGGGAAAATTCGTACGTAAAAATTATTATTATTATTATTATTGAAATTTACCATTTTAAAACGTTACCCTTTTGTTCGATGAAAAAAAAATTATTGAATTATTTATTATTATTATTATTTATTATTTGAAAAAAAAAATCGATAGATCGATGTATCGATTATAATAAATTATTAATTTAAAAAAAAGAAATGACGGTTGGGAAACTCGCGGAAAATTTTTTTAAAACGAAAACCAAAGGAAAATATGGACACACGCGACGACATTATTTTTTTTTTTCAAACGCGTTATTGTTAATTTAAATTTTTTTTATAAAAAAAAAAAAAAAATTTAATTGTTTAAACAATTAAATAAATAAACAAATACCTGATTTGTGATGTCCAATATGGATGAAGTTCGTGATGTTGGAATTTAAATTTGTTGCACATTTCTAATGTAAACGATCAGCACGTACTACTAATGGTATATATATATATAATAAAAAAAAAATTCAACGCGAGAATCTTTTTAAATACGTCGACCATTCATGAAAAAACGAGGGATCGTCAAAAAGTTCTTTACGTTTTTTTTTCTTACTACTACTTATTATTATGTTTAAGTTCGTATATTCTTTTCGTCGTTTATTATTATTATTATTATTATTTGGGGTTCGATTACGTCGGGGGGGGGGTGAGTGGGTGGGGGGGGTTCGATTAAAAAAAAACGGTTTTATTACGTGTGAGTAATGAATTTAATGATGGCGAATTTTTTTTGTAATATAATAACAAACGCGATCGTTTCGTTTGTTAAATTATTATTATTATTATTATTAAGTATGTATCGATAATGGCTGTCGTTGTTTGTTGTTATTGTTGTGGTTGTTTTTTAATCAAGTTCACTGTCACTAACAAATAAGTTTAAGTCAAGGATAATATTTTTATGTAAAAAGCCAAGCCCTTCTCTCTCTCTCTCTCTCTCTCTTGTATTTTTCTAGAAATTTTTTCTGTTTGGTTTGTTCCCTCCCCCTCTCCTCCCCACTCCCCTCCCCTCCCCTTCGATTTATTCCTTTCGTATTATTTCTCATTACTTTATCATCAATTTTATCACTGTAATTTTTTTTTTTTTTTTTTAATTAAAAGGTCATAGAAAAAAGAAAGTTTATTTAATAATAATAATAATTAGTGATTAATAATAATAATAATAATAATTAATAGTTGATAATAATGATAATATTAATACGTCACTAACGGTAGAGTAAAATTAAAAAAAAGAAGGGGAAAAAATTTTTTTTTTTTTTTCAAACAACTTTTGACGTCATAACCGTGACATTGAAAAATGGTAGTAATAATAATAATAATAATAATAATAATAATAACCGTTTTTTTTTATTGCGTGGAAGTAGTTTTACGTCACCGAACAAAAAATAGCAAAAAAAATTTGTCGTCATTGTTTGTCGTTTGTCGTTTGTCGTTGTTAATTATTTTATTAAAAGGAAAAAACAAAAGGGCAACAACTAAAAATTTACTAAATTTTTTTTTTGTTTTAAACATCCATTTCCGTTCGTTTATTCGTAATAATAATAATAATAATGATAATGATAATGATAATGATAATGAATCCCTAAGGAATCGGGTAGAGACCTGGGATAAATGCTTAAAAACCCCGACAAATAAGAGCCTTGTCGTGTTTAATAATGAATGATAATGATGATAATAATAATGACAAACAGGCATCCCAAAATAAAATCTAAATAATAATAATAATAATAATAATAAACAGGAAACGGTGTAAACGGTTTATTGTTTGTTTCTTTTTCTTTTTTTTATTTTTTTTTTTCTTACACCTTTGTGCGTAGGTACACGTGCACCCGCACACGCACACACACGCACGCAATAATTAAATCACATTATCGAATAAATAAATAAATTTAAGTAAAAAAAAAAAAAAAAAAAAAAAAACGTGACCAATGTCTCATCCGCTAAAAAAAAAAATCGTTGACATCTTTTTTTACTCTCAACATCCGATTTTAAATTCTTAAAAATGTTTTTTTTTTTTTTTTTTTTTTTTTTTTTTTTTTTAAGCATATAATGATGTTATTATTTAATAATAATAATAATAATAATAATGATGATGATGATGATGATGATGATGATGATAATGATAATAATAATATCTGTCATTATCAAATCCATAAATTATTTAGTTATTATTTATAACGTTTTGTCTGTCATCTTTCTCCTCTCACTGGATCACGTTAAATTTTCCCGTAACGAATTTATTACTAATGATAATAATGATAATGATAATGATGATGATGATGATGATGATGATGATGATGATGATGATGATGATAATAATATGTTATTTTTAAATCCATAATTTATTTTTATTTAAAATTTTCGTAAGATTTCATTTGAATTTTTTGGTTTTACGGTTTCGATTCTAGAAAATTCTTTCGTTATTTACTAAATATTATTATTCACGTTTCTTTTATTATTATTATGATTATTATTATTATTATTAATATGATTATTATATTATTATTATTATTATTATTATTATTATTATTATTATTATTATTTAAATTACGACGTCGTTTAACAATCGGAAAACAAAAAAAAAAAAAAAAAAAACAATTTTTTTTCTTTCCCCACCACGTTTTTTCGTCTCGTGAAATAATATTTATTAACCTCTTTTAAATAATAATAATAATAATAAGGATAAATTATTATTATGATTATTATGATTATTATTAATAATAATTTATTTATCGTGTAAATCATTCAATTCGAACTGGGGTGTCGTAGGTCAAGGATAATTAATTATTAATTGTACTTATAAATTGTCGACCCCTCGTCGAAAATGTTATTTAATCCTAATTATTATTATTATTATTATTATTATGAATCCACCGTATAAAATATGTCGGTCGAGGGCGTGGTGGGAAGGGAGGAGGAAGAGGGAAAGAGGGGAAAGGGGGCCGAACTCCAGGATTTTTTTTTTTTCTTCTCGACGAAATAGAAAAAATATTTTCGTTTAAATTTAACAAAAGAATGAATGAATGAATGAATGAATGAAAAGATGAGATAAGTAGGTAGGTAGGTAGGTAGGTAGACAGACTCGCAGACGTTTTATAATAATAATAATAATAATAAATTTTCAGGTACGAGATGGTGGGATAAACAAGAGGTAAGGGAGAAAAATCTTTTCTGATTCGAAACTCGTTTTATTGAAAACGTTTTTTTTCATAAATTTATTTATTTATTTATTTATTAATAAATAATAATAATGATTTTGTTGTTTTTTTTAGAAACGAGAAGGAAAACTTTTTGTACGATCACGTGACGAGTACGTCGACTCCATAATGGAAAAAAAAATATTAATCGGCCAAGGCTAATAAAAAAAAAAACTAAATGGTAAGTTATGTCTGTCGTATATATACATAGACCCCAAGCAAATTTTATTTATTTATTATTTAATTGACCCCCCTTTCCCTCTTTCTCTCCCCCCCTCGTCGTTAATAATAATAATTTATTTGTCGACTCCGTTACAACAACAACAACAATAATGATAATAATAATAAAACGAATCGTTAAAAATTAATTGAAAAAAATTCAGCGATAGAAGTCATTCTCATTCATTCCCTTCAATTTAATGATTAATTATTAAATTTTTAATAATAATAATAATAATAATCTTTTGGAAATATCATAGATTCGTTAAGTATTATTATTATTATTATTATTATTATTATTATTATTATTATTATTATTATTATTATTATTATTACATTTTATGAGATTCGCTAAAAAAAACCCGACGACTATTTTCTATCTATTTGCTTACGAAGCTGAAAATTTTTTTTTTACCTAAATCGTATAAATTTTTATTGCTAACATTTTCAAGATGATGATGATAATGATAATGATGATGATGATGATGATGATGATGATAGTGTACTTAACGCCATTTTGAAAACAAAATGGTAGGAAATATTTAGGGGAATGAGAGTACAAAGACGCTGGAAAAAAAATTATTTTATATGTAAATCCATTACGATGATTTTTTAATCGCGTTCTTTTCCGCTTCCCCCCCAAGCCCCTCGCAAGCCCCCCTGGAGCCCCCACACCCTTTTAAAATTTAAATTAATTAATGTCAAATTTGCAAAAATATATATATACTTATAAAAAATGAAAAACAGGTATTATTGCAGTACAAAGTTAAAACCGAAGCCTATTATTATTATTATTATTATTATTATTATTATACATGTGAAAATGGTGAACGTGCGACAAGTCATGTATATCGTACATGTTTTTTTTTTTTTTTTTTTTATGCAACGACACAAACGATTCAAATTTTATTATTATTATTATGTTGTGATCGATCGATTGTCATTTTACATTCGATATTTATTTATTAATATAAATCGTAAATCGATATCGCCATTTCCGGAATTTAAATAATAATAATAATAATTTGATTTTTTTCACTCTCTTATGGTTTTTCCTACTTCTCTCTTAAAATCTCATTTAAATTTATTATTATTATCATTATCATCATCATCATTATTATTGTTATTATTATTACTATTATTACTATTATTATTATTATTATTGTTATTATTATTATTATCATCATCGATTTGGGTTTATATCATATTTTAATATACTAAAATAATTCGTTCTGGAATTTTCGATTTTTTTTTTGTAATTCGTAAGTCGCGAAATGGGGGTCAAGAAAATTTTTTTTCGTGTTTTGCTGTCGTTAATAAAATTTTATTAAAACCGAAAAACCGTAAAAAATTAGCAAAAACCAAAAAAATGGATATTATTGAAAAAAAGCCAAATTTATTTATTTTTTATAATTTTTTAAAATTGCATAAATTTTTTTTTTTCGATCATAATTTTGGCTCTGAAATGATTTTACGTGTATTAAATATTATTTAAATAAGTTATTAGTTATCGATATATCGATTTATCGATTTATATATCGAACTTGAATTAATACGAAAATTATTTTTTCTAAGAAAAATAATAAAGAAATTCATTTTGTATGCCAAATTGTACAAAATTGAGAATGGATTAAAGTTTATCATCATCATCATCATCATCATCATCATCATCATCATCAATAACGATTTATATTAATAAATAATAGTAATAATAATGATGATAATTATATTTACAAAGAAAAAAAAAAGTTTAATTTCTTATTAATTAAAAATTTAAAAGGTTTTGAGGTAAACATTTAATAAAGATTTATTATTATTATTATTATTATTGCGTTATAAATTGTCATAACGATTGTTTATTGTTGTTGTTTGTTGTTGTTGTCGTCGATTCGACATTAAATACGTAATGAGAAAGAAAAATCATGAAATTTTTTTTTTTAACACATTGATAATATTATGATAGTTATTTAAAATATTATTATTATTATTATTATTATTATTATTATTTACACAGAGCCAAAAAATTGTTTCATTTAAAATCACGTTTGTATAATGTTTTCCTTGTTTTTCTTTTAATATAAGAAAGAAGGGAGAAAATAACTAATTCGATACAGATATTATGATGATAATAATAATAATAATAATAATAATTGTTGTTGTTGTTGTTTAGGGTTTTTAATTATGTTAATTACTTATTATAATTACCCACATATTTGATTTAATTTTTTTTTATGTTGCCTTGAAAATATTATTTAAAAAAAAAAAAATCTTTTGTTTAAATTGTAAATGTGGAGAGGGGAGGGAAGGGGTGGGGAGGAAGGGGAGGATTTATTATTATATTATTATTTATTATTATAAATTTTATTAATGATGAGTGTGTGTGTGTGTGTGGATGAATTGTAAAAGGTGTGAAAATTAGGCAGCCATGAAAGAATTTATATACATATTATATATTTTATGGATCCCACTCATTATTTCAAGCAGAAGAAATTGATTTTTTTTGTCGTTTATCGAATTAATTTCCATAAATGAATTGAGTGAAAAAAGAGTGCAATGGGATTAACATCGTATAGGGATTTTGACTATATAAACTGGTTTGACGTGGTTTGAATTTTGAAGTGTCAGCAGATTAAAAAAAAAAAAAAAAAAAAAAAGGGAAAACTTGAATTCGATTCGATTAAAAATTTATATGTATACGTGAATAATTTTATTTATTTATTTAACTTTTTATAATGTTTTATAATTATTATTATTTTATTATTTATTAATCGTTTAAGGAAAGAAAAAAAAATACGTTTGGTTGTTTTTAATGTTGGTAATCCTGGTAAAAGTCATTTTTGAAGTCACGGTCCAAAGTATCTTTTCTTATTCCAATACTTGTTCGAGATAACGGAAAATTTAAAAAAAAAAAAAATGTTAAGTAAAAATTCTACGAAAATATATCAAAGAGCTTTTTGTCAATGTACTCCGTCTAGGTAAAATTTTTAAATAATTGTTCGAATCAGAATGAAAAATGACATTTTATTATTATTATTATTATTATTAATTTTCTATTCATTTATAGGTATATGGCAACTCAAGAAAAATTACAAATATATTCTAGAAAGTGAGTAAGTTTGATTTTATCATTTTGATACGGAATGACCTAATTAATACATAAATTTGAGTTTTTTTTTGCAGTCCATCAGATGAATATCAATATCTTCAAAAATCTACATTACCTACATTACATTTTCAAAAAGGTCTCTTGAGATTACCCATACCTGACCTTGAAAAAACATGCCAAAGATATTTGAATGCATTAAAACCATTATTAAATGCCAACGATTGGGAAAAAGTTAACAATAAGGTAGAGAAATTCAAATTGTAATCAAATACGTATAAAACTAATAATGATTAATTTAAAATTTTCATGATTCGATCATTTCGCATTCCAGGTTCAAATTTTTAAAAGCACAGTTGGAAAAGATTTACACGATGCTTTAGTATTAAAAGATAAAAACAATCAGCATACAAGTTACATATCAGAACCTTGGTTCGACATGTATTTAAAAGATAGAAGTCCGCTTCCGTTAAATTACAATCCTGCCATAGTTTTAAATCGATCAATTCATAACGATTCCGAATCGCAATTGTGCAAAGCGACAAATTTAACAATATCTTCTCTGAGGTAAAAAAAAAAAAAATTATTATTTTTCGATTTAATTTTTTTCTTGCGATTTATAAATGTAATTTTTCCTTTTTTTTTTTTTTTGCTGTAGATAAATTTTTTTTTTTTTTTTGTAATTTGATTATTTAAGGTTTTTGAAATCGTTAAGGGCAAATAAACTTGTTCCAGAAATATATCATTTAAATCCTGAAAAAACAGATACTGCTCTATATAATAATTGTATGGCACTTTTACCGCCTAAAATTGCTTTATATGCTTCATATTTCATGAAGGTGAGTGTAACAAGTTTTTTACATTGAGTTTTAATATAGATAATTTTGTTTTGTGTCTTGAATGTATTTATACATAAACATCATTTTATGGTTTTTTTTGCAGGCTTATCCTTTAGACATGTCACAATATTCTAGTTTGTTTAACAGTACAAGAATTCCCAAAGTGAAAAAAGATATTTTAGTTAAAAATGAATCAGGGAGACACATTCTAGTTTTAAGAAATGGACATTTTTTTAAAGTTAATGTTATAGATGATAACGGTTTGTATTCGATATCGAATGTTTTCATTTTTATAAATTTTATCGAGTACTTTTATTGTGTGTTTGTGTGTGATTTTTAGGTGAGACTGTTTCACCAGAAGACATTTATACTTGTTTTAAATACATATTGGATCAAAATTTAGATGGGAATGAAAATTCAATTGGAATATTAACAACTGAAAATCGAGATGTTTGGGCAAAAGCGAGAGAACATTTGTTATCTATTAATCCTGATAATAGTCATTCGATTGATGCAATAGATTCGGCATTGTTTGTTGTTTGTTTAGATGACGTTTACGTGAATGATAATGTTGATAAAACAATGAGAACGTATCTTCACGGTGACGGTTTAAACAGGTTTGAAAAAAACTTTTATAACAAATTGTATCAAAGTGGTGATTAATAAATGAAAAATGTTTACAGATGGTTTGACAAATCGTTTAGTCTCATCGTATCGAAAGATGGTATGGCAGCCATTAATTTTGAACACAGTTGGGGTGATGGAGTTGCCGTTTTACGTTACATTAAAGATATATTTAAAGATCATAACGAAAATCCATTCGTGTATTATTCTACGAAAGTTGTAAATATCGATTTAGACAGATATGTAAAAAAACTCGGTAAGATTATAACCCTGTTGACCTTTTGACCTTTTGACCTTTTTTCTTGTTTAAAATGTATTATTGTAAAATTACAGATTTCAATTTGGATGAAAAGTCATTGAGTGACGTAAGGAATGCAAAAGAAAAATTTGATAAGGTTGTTGGCTCTTTAGGATTAAACGTCGTTCAACAGGAAAATTTAGGAAGGAAAAATTGCGGCGCGTTAGATTTATCACCGGATGCCGTGTTGCAACTTTCATTTCAAGTAATATTTATAAATTTTCTATCGAAGTTTATCGTGTATTTTATTTAAAAATGAAATGCGATGGTGGCGTTTTCCAGGTTGCACATCACAAAGCATACAATAAATTTGTGTCGACATACGAATCTTGCAGCACGGCAGGATTCAAACATGGAAGAACGGAAACGATAAGGCCGTGCACGGAAGCGACGAAAGAATTTGCAATAAAATTTAATAGTAATAATCGTCCGAGTAAAAACGAATTGTTGAACATGATGAAACATTGTTCGGAAGTTCATAAAACATTGACGAAAGAAGCTCTCATGGGTATCCATCCCTATGGAATTCTCCAGTGATTTCGCACACAATTTGTCGGCGCGCGCGCGTTTTTCTTATATATACGCCATTTTTATTTTTAGGTCAAGGTTTCGACAGGCATTTATTCGGATTGAAAAACATTTCCGAAGAATCCGGATCACCTCTTCCGGATCTTTTCAAAGACGATGCATACAAACTCATAAATTATAACGTTCTTTCGACGAGCACTCTCGCTGATAAAGCCATTAAACTGGGTGGATTCGGTCCTGTCGTACCCGATGGATTTGGAATCGGGTAAATTTTTTAACGAATCATCATTATTTTTTTTTAACGGATTTATCTCGTGATAAAACCTGAATTGTTTTTTTTTCAGGTACTCGATACAAAAAGATTTTTCCGGTGCGATCATAACGAATTATTTCCCCCACACGAACGGAAGTGATTTTTCAAATGCATTAAAATCAACATTAGAAGAATTTAATTTACTTTTGAGCAAATAATAATAATAATTATTACAACCGGGGAATTTTTCCGTGGAAAATGCTCAAAAGAAAGGCTGTTAAATATTTAATTTTTTTTTTTTTTTTTTTACAGTAATGATGAAATTATACCTCGTTATTAATTAATTAATTAATTTTAAAGAAATGATGAGTCGTTAAGCAAAGGATATAATGCTCAAAAAAAGGAAAAATTTCCTATAGAAAATACTCCTACTAAAGTACATGGATAAATTATTATTATTATCTATGTACCCCCAAAAAAATAATAATTTATAATAACAGAAAAAAAGAAAAATGCCGGGAAAAATGTACAGAAAAGAAAATTGTTAAATATGTTTTTTTTTTACGAAATTAATCATTTTATTAGTATTATTATTATTATTATTATTATTATCTATCAGTTATCAATGTTATTGAAAAGTTTTTTTTTATTTTATTTTATATTTATATACATTATCATATTTTAAATTATATTTTTAAATATTTTTTTTTAATATTTTATTTTGAACGGTTTACCTATACCATATTCGAAATGAAATTTTTTTAAATTTAAATTTATAAAAATTGGCGGGAAAATTTAAATTTATTTTTCCCTCCGAAATAATTTCGAAAAGAACAAGTGCTGACATCTTTCGAGTAAAATTTAAATTATCCGAAATCGTAAAGAGCATGCGCAAATGTATAATATGAAAAACGTATGTAGTCGATCGGGAGTGTTTAAAGGAGAAAGGTCGTATTTATAAAATTTCTAATTAATTTGTGTGAATGAAATAATTTTTTGTAAAAATGAAATGATTTTTTTTTTTTTTTTTTTAAACATTTGATCGGCATTAAAGTGATATAATTTTTTAATATTGAAAACCGACATTTTTTTTTTTTATAAATTTATTTCGACGATAATTTTTTACATTTAATTTTATATTTATTTGAAAAAAAAAAAAAAAAAAAATCAAATAGACTTTATAAGTGTGTTAAAAAAAAAAAAAAAAATTTCTTTTTTGGATTTCGGAGTTCATCGAGTAAGAAGAAGAAGAAGAAGGGTGGATAAAAGAAAAAAAAAGGGAAATAACAAAAGTAATTATTATCATTATTATTATTATTAATATTATTTTCGATTGGTTTTTTTTTTTTTTTTTTACGTTTAGGAAATGATAAATTTTTAAGAATTAATTTTTTAAAAAAAAAAAAAACCCGGGAATGATTTATATCCGTTAAATATTCGTTTCGATATCGATTTCTTATAACGAAAAAAACCGTTTTTTTTTTTTTTTTTTTTTTTTAACATTTTGTTGCAAAGTTAATTATTATTATTATTATTTACACTTTTCCCGATGATGAAACTTTATTAAATTCAAATTATTTATATGAAAAAACTTATAAAGTTAATCAAAAAAAAAAAAAAAAAAAAAAAAAACCAATGCAGTAAATTTTAAATGAATTATTTATAAATTAATCAGGTTATGACATGATTTATTATTATTATTATTACTATTATATGGATGCAGGTAAGAATAATGATAATAATAATTTATATTATTTTCAATGAGTTTCAAAAATATAGAATATTTGAATGATGAGGATATAATGAAACATTTGTCGAATATTGACATCAAGTGAGAAATGTATCTTTTCACAAAATGGTTGATGGTATCGTTGAAGATTGTGTCATCAGTGTTTTTGGATCTTTTGGCAAATCGAACAGTTAAAAGGAAAGGAAAGGAAAGGAGGGGAAGGGAAAGGTAACACAAAATGTAAAAAATGTATATGGCTGTAGGGAACAGAAATGTACTTGTGTGTGTGTGTCCTTTTATAAAATGGTTGATGGTATCGTTGAAGATTGTGTCATCAGTGTTTCAGAATCTTTTTTGGCAAATCGAACAGTTGAAAAGGAAAGGAAAGGAAAGGAAGGGAAGGGAAGGGAAGGGAAAGGAAACACAAAATGTAAAAAATGCATATGGCTGTAGGGAGCAGAAAAGTGTACTCGAGTATGTGTGTGTGTGTCCTTTTACAAAATGGTTGATGGTATCGATGAAAATTGTGTCATCAATGTTTCAGAATCTTTTGGCAAATCGAACAGTTGAAAAGGAAAGGAAAGGAAAGGAAAGGAAGGGAAGGGAAGGGAAGGGAAGGGAAAGGTAACACAAAATGTAAAAAATGTTTATGGCTGTAGGGAGCAGAAGTGTACCTGTGTGTGTGTGTGTGTGTATCCTTTTACAAAATGGTTGATGGTATTGTTGAAGATTGTGTCATGAGTGTTTTAGAATCTTTTTGAGCAAATCGAACAGTTAAAAAGAAAAGGAAAGGGAAAAAAAGGGAGGGAAAGGGAATGTAAAAAATGTATATGGCTGTAGGGAGCAGAAAAGTGTACTCGAGTGTGTGTAAAATCAGGCAATTAAATTTTTATTATTATTATTATTATTATTATTATTATTATTATTATTATTATTATTATTATTATTATTATTATTTGAAACAATGGAATAAAGAAATCACACACACTCGCTTTGCAATAAGAGAAGAAAAAAAGTGTTATGTCATAATGAGTTATGAAAACATAACTGTATTTTCTTTTTATATCCATATATATATATAAAATATTTTCTTCAAAATGAATTTTATAATAATTACTCGAGAAGTGAGTGAGTGAGTGAGGGGTGGATGGGAGGAGGGGAAGGAAGTAAAGGGAAAGAATACACTGTCATGAAGAAGAAAGCGAAGAGGAATGTTAAGAATTTAATGAGATTAATGAGTGAATATTGAAAACTTGCGAATAAGTATGATAATGATAATGATAAGAAGGAGAAAAAGGGTGGAAAATGTTATCGAAGATGAATGTGTTTTTTCAAGTTAATTCAAATCTAACTAATATTCGGTTGTTGTTGGTTGTTGTGTCCATTTTGTAGAATTTTTCTAATGAATCATAAAAAGAGAGAAAAAAAAAACTTCACCCATGTTTGTTATTTGTTGTTTGTTTCTTTTTTTTTTAGAAACGTTCACTATTTAAACTCTTAAATTAAATTGTCATTAATGTTAACTTAAATGTTTAAATTTCTAATGAGCTACATAATAATAATAATAATAATAATAAGGTATATTTGAAAGAGAGTGGAAGGTAGAGAGAGAGAAAGAGAGAGGAATGTAGAGAGAGAGAGAGAGAGAGAAATGAACTATATGAGATTTACACAATTGCATTTTGTATATCATTGTTCATTGACACAAAAAAAAAATATTTAAGTTGGTAACACTCATGGGGGGAAAAAGTGAAAAATCAGTTTGAACGAAATGTCGTCGTCGTAAGTCGTTAATTTTTCGTTCTTTTTTTTTTGCTTTATAAAAAATATTTGCTGTAGTGCTGTAGTTTTGCTTTTTTTTTGCTATTCGAAATGAAAGACGAATGGAAAAAGAAAAATTTTATTTATTTTCTCTTTCTTCGTCTTAAAGATGTCGGTTGACATTTCGAATTGATTCAATTTGACATTTTCCAAAATAACAATTTTTTTTTTTTTTTTTTTTGGAAACGGTAGGTGATAAATTGATGTCACGATTCTTTTCTTTTTTTTTTTTTTTGTAAGAAAATGGAAAAATACCGTTGGGGGGATATTTAATTTTTTTCGTTTGTTTTAAATAAGATGAGGAAAAGGAGGAGGCAAAGGAGGTAAGGAAAAAATAATGAACGTTTAATGACGTCACAAAAATCCGTTAACTATCCGTACTTACGCGGGAAATTGTTTTGTTTGTTTGTTTGTTTTTTGCATTTTTTCCCGCCCAAAAAAAAAAAAAAAAAGAAAAAATTAAACGAGTTTTTAATTGGCAATTGTGAATTTTTTTTTTCGGTAACGTTAGGCAGTTGGTTGCCCTGTTATGTTCGTTTTTTTTTTTTTTTCAAATGAAAGAATATTGATCTCGAATTGGTCAGTGATGGTGATGGTGGTGGTGGCGGCGCTGCTGACGCGAGACGTTTACGTCACCGTTATTAATTTTTTTTTTTTTGCTCTCGTTTAAAAAAAAATTGCTTTTTATCGTTTTTTTTTTTTTTTTTGCGGTTTGATCTGGTATCAAAACGTTTTTGGAAAGAGTTATTATTTACACTGGTTGTTTCTTTTTCGAGTTTTATAAAACGGTTTCTTTCCCCGATAATAATAGAAAAAAAAAAGCACAAATTCGTCAGAATTTTTTTTTTATTAGTTTTCCTTACATTGACGTGTAAACTATTAATATCACGTGTTGTAAACGTCGTAAAAACTAGAAAAATTTTCCAAAAAGAAAACAATCGTTTCATCATCATCATCATCATTTTTAAACCTTATTTGTTAATCAATTTAAAAAAAGAAACAGCTGTTGTAAAAAAAAAAAAAAAAAAAAAAATTAAAGCGCTAAAAGTACAACAAAAAACGTTTTTTTTATAAAAAAAAGTCATAAAAATAAAATTTTATGAGTCATTACGTCACGTGTCATTAGCAATATAATATATGTATGTATGTATTTTTGACGAATATCCCATATTATTATTATTATTTTGCATTTTTACTCTCCCTCTCTCTCTCTCTCTCTTCCTCTCGAAGAAGGAGAATCTTGTTTTACGTAAGGTTTCGGCCGAGAGAGAGAGAGAGAAATAAATTTGTAAATTAATGATATTAATAATTATAAGAAAAAAATGTCGAAATTTTCATTTAAAAAAAAAAAAAAAAAGGGTGTGCAGTTTTCTTTTTTGAGATTTGTAATCGATACCCGGTGATTTTATTATTTAACAAAACCACAAGAAACCTCCTCCTACCCACGAATAAGATAAAAAAAAAAA